AGTACGGATTAACAGTATCGATGGATTGATTTGTTGTCTCCAAAGCCTGTCTGTGCAATTGATTGAACTGTAGTGTAGTGGTGATGAAGGAGCATTAGGCAGAAACTGAGAGCACGAATGCTCTGTAATCATCTGATCCCTGCATCAAATCCAAAGATTCAGCAGCTGTCGTCTTTACAAATCTGTGTTGACTGTTGTTCACCTGTTGTACAGCCGGACAAGGACTTTATCAGAAAGCTAAACAAAACTGATCCTAAGTACAAATGATGTCGGCCTCTTGGCTTCAACTTAAAGCTGCCAAGAACCAGGTTCTTCAGGTCTTCAGTCTTATTAGTCAAATGCGGTCACCTAGAACATCTCGCAAGTGAAATGTCTCTACAAAAACAGTGTCCCCACAACAGTCTTGTTTTATATATATATTTCAAAAGGTGTCCCCAAAGGTATAGGTAGACAAGGATTACACACACACACTAGAGACACACTTACCTGTCTGAGCTGTTCCACACACATTCAAACTTGTCAAAGATACAATCGTTTTCATAGAGGGAGCACAGCTTACTCCGCAGGTATTCATGTACCTGAGAACGACAGAAAAAGCCAACAAATATATGACATTATATTATGTTATTTTGTTATTTTCTTAGACCACTTTGCTAGAAAAAATTTTGAATTTTTTTTACATATTTTTTGGCCGATAGACTAAACTACTGTACTTTGAGAAACATTTGTTTGACCACGTGTCGGTCCTGACCCAGTTTTTGGAAAAAATGAGTGTAAAATACAGAGAATTCCTGCATTTCTTTAAATCTCAGTGTTTCTGACTTTATAAAAGTGTAAGTTTTTAAAGGATAAATCTAGAATATAATTGTTTTTATAATGAATGGATGTTGAATTAGGAACTAAATATATAAATATGAATATCTTAGTAAAATATGTAAATGTATTTTATTAGACAACTATTATTCAATGCCTCTTATATGATCATTTTCAATATTTAATGATACTGATAGTTATTTAAGTCTCAGTTTTTGTTGGGTTTTTTTTTTCAGTTGCGTTGATAGTGTGGAACGACACGTTAATTTTATGATCCGCATAATTTTGAAATCCAGTCATGGGCCAGATTAGATGGATCTTTGGGCCAGATTTGGTCCCCGGGCCACCAGTTAATGATCTGCTTTAATGTGTCAACGACAAGACTCTATGTTATAATCAGTTTTATTAGATGTGACTGGGACCAAAAATGGGCAACTGTACCTGGTATGTCTCCACGGGTCCTTTGTCCATGTGTAGGTCCCACACCTTGGCGGTGAGGTAGTCTCTGGTCAGCAAGTAACGTCCACTGTGGCTGAACTTCACATCTGACACAGAGGAAATGATCTCTGAGAAAAAGGACCGGCTCCCTGGATCCTCGGGCTCCTCAAACACTGGAGGGGAACAATCACATCACAGACATTAGAACTCAGAGGAGTCCATGTGGTCGGTCGTGTTACAGTGTGAGGACAGCAGACACTCTGTGACCGCTGTCTCCAGGATCATGCTCACGTTTGGTGTGTTTGTCACAGAGTGCGGAGGCTCTCATGTCACACAGACGCAGGGTGCCCTTGCTGCTGCTGTACACGAACAAGTGGCAGTGATGAGGGTGGAACTCAGCCGCTGTGATCACCTCGGTCAGATCCTCCATATTGGCTGGTTTGATGTCCACGATATCTGAGGAGGAACGTTTGTCAAGAAGCCTGACAGCAGACCATCTGATGATCATGAAGTTTGCACATTGTTTTTTTCTGTTTCTTTTTCCTCATTTTTAAGAATCTCATCTCTCTGCTAACACCTCGGATTTGTTTTCGAATCCAAAAACTGCATCAATCCAACTCCCAGTTGCACACTGAGCTCCTCTCTCTGTTCTATTTGTGGTACCCTGTCGTCCTGTGTGGTTCAGAGCGAAGTGTACGACTCAATGAATTATTTAAGCTCCTCTCTCATAGATAGACTGATAGAAAGGATTTTCTAGGTCAGCCTCCATTTGAACAGGAAATCAAATGCACAGCATCCTTCCTTTGAGATTACATGGCCCTCCAGTCTACATGTATATTTGCCACTAAGACTCATTAACACTGTTTTAAATTCATTTTTCATGTCGCATAGTTTAAACCAGGGCTTGAAACACCAAGTGTTAATCCTGTTAATTATTTTTTTAACTGCATTAATAGTATTAAAATAATTATTCCATCCACAATTGTGATTAATCATAATTAACTAGGATTAATCATGATTAATCCACCACTACCCTGTGATCACTGCGATATATTTTAATCTATCGCCACACCTAGTTTAATTTTTATTTTAATTTCTTGCAACGTTAAAGGTGAAGAAACCAAGTAACTGACAGAGAACAATGGCTGCCATAGTTGACTTTGCACTTCATTTAGTGTGTTCTTTGTCTGGGAATTTCAAACCATGTGAAATAGGAGAGTCTGCCCTGAGCAAGAGATGAAATTACCAAAACCAAATCAGCTACAATAAGCAGGAAAAAGTGGTGAATCAGGATCACTGTGTAACCTGAAGTAGGTCAGTGGTTAAAAACAACAAAATATAAATCACGTAGAGGATACTGAAGCTGCGGTCTGTGATACCCAGGTGCCACATATTGATACGTAGGTCATCGGCCGACAGGTACGTCTCCCCATCACTGTTGACGGAGATGGAGTTGACATGGTAGGTGTGTCCATTGGAAAACACTCGCCTGGGCCGCACCTCTACCATCAAGTCAGTAGGTTTTAGCACCGGCACCTAGAATGAACACATGAATTATAGAAAATTATTGAAGAGAAAAAGGAGGGGAATAAAGGTCATCAAATTAAAACATTAGTTATTGATAGTGTTTGGGGAATGAATGAATGTATCAGGAAATGTATGGAAGCAAATTCAAAGACAGACTTTCTATCTTTCATTGATTCTTTTAATTTCAAAATCCATAGTGACAAGGCGTATTAAATCCTGTTGATGCTCAGCCTTAATTGTTTTATTTTTCCATTGCAAAAACTAGATTAATTGGATAAATGTGGGTAAAATGTCTTTTTTCTGTTGTGTGGATTTTCTGTAACAGGGAACAGAATTTGGGCCTAAAATGATGTCCCCCTTGTTTCTCAGACCAGCGTCAGCCACTGTTTAACAAGTGAATGTGTGTGAGTCTTAGTCTGTGTCTGTGTGTACCTGCAGAGAGGTGATGGTGGACACGTCCTTGAGCCGTCCCTCCTCATCTTTCAGGTTGTATCCCTCTGGTCTTTTGTCTCTCTCACTCACCTTCCACAGTTTAATGGTCTTATCTGTGACACAGTGACACGAGTTAAAGAAGCTGAACTTTATTTATGATTGGAAAGAGATGCTGTGATTTGTTGTCTTGTCTCTGACAGATGACAGTAAAGGTTGCACCAAGCAAACGCAACGAAAAGATGTAGAATTGAACTGAGTCATTCACAGCAACATGTGGAAAGTAGTGTACACAGTGTGATACGTAGGTACATTCACAGCAACATGTGGAAAGTAGTGTGAGTGTACACAGTGTGATACGTAGGTAACGTCTTACCATTGGTGGAGAGGAGGAAATGCGCTGCGTTCTGCTGTGGCAGCCATCGGATTTTGTTAATTTTCTCTTCGATCTCTAGACTCTTCAGGTAGTCAAAATCTGGCTCGTGGCTCTGGAAGGTGCTGTAGACATTATATTCTCCAGAGTCCACTGTCTCTCCCACCTCCTCTGACTCCCCTTTAGTCTGGACGGGGTCAACAGCAGAAGTGTAGTGATATATTATAAACAATCTAAAAGTTGGACAATGTGAAGCACTGCTAGGTGTGCCTGCTGCCTCACAGGGCATAAAAGGCAGATTCTACCAACCTCAGTCTCTCTTTGGAAGATGACCACTCGGCCACCTTTATCCCCAGTGGCCAGCAGGTCCCCTGTCTGGTTGAACTCCACCGTAGAGATGACATCAGCTGTAAAAAAAAGAAAGACAGAGAGGAGCCAATTAGGCTAGTTTATAGAACAACGGAGCAAAAGACGGGTTAACAAACATCATGAGAGACAAATATTATAATATTTTTTTTAATCTAACATCTCATAAGGTTGTTTTAAGCTGACTGAAAGACTACAGTTGTACAGGTCCCATAATAACTTCTCATAGGATTTCTGACAATATGAAGAACTGAATGTGTTCATCCTTCTTCTCTCGTCACTGTGTTGTTTCCACATCAGTGAAGTCAAATGAATCCAGACAGCCTGACCAGTATGCCATCTGACACGACACAGAGAGAATGATGACACAACGGCCGCTCTACCTTCAGTGACGTAGTCTCGCAGGAAGGTGTGGTTAATTTTGGGGCTCTCAGCGTCCTCGCCCATCTGAAGCTGAAGGAGGGTGATCCGCCAGCACGCCCGTCCTGAGGGGAAGGGTCCAATCCGTGTTTTCTCTCCCCACCCAGGCTCTGCCCATGCTGCTATGGCCTAGCAAAGCGGCATGGAGTAAGGCATCTTGGGTAACCAGCCACCCGGAAGAGGAAAGGAGTTTGAGAAAAAAAAATGTCAAGAAGAAAAAAAATATAGGCGAATATAAAAGAAAGAAAGAAATTGATAATGATGTGGGGCAGAGTGAACAGAGAGGAGGAGGTATGGGGGGGGTGGAGAAAAGGTGTAAAGGAAAGAAGAGAGCTGTCACTGGGCAGGCTGACAATAAATGCTTACAGCATGCCAAATGATTTGACCTTTGTTAGACATTCAATACACTTATTGTCAAAGACACACGTGCAGACACACAAGGCCTAGTAGGTGCCGGGGCAAATCCAACGTCAGCGTGGCGACAACACAGCCAACGGCACCAGCAGGAGAATGGAGGAATGAAACACTGTGTGCATATATAGGCAGGAAAATGACATGTGAGTGTGACACATGCACTGCAACATTTAGCATAGCTTCCTGGGTGTGGTAGGCGACTCTGCCTACTTTCCTGCCTTCCTGCTTCCAAATCATGTTCTCACACACAAATACACACACATCTATACACATACACACTTCACAAGAAGACCTTGACAGAGATCAGAGGCGAACACAGTGTCTTGTCTATGCTGCGTGAGGGAGGGTGGAAGACAGGCCTCAGCACACCTACCAGTCCGCCTTCTGCCGCTGCCGCTGCTGCTGCTAATGATGATGATGATGATGACGAGGATGCTACTTCTGCTGCTATCCTTTTTCCTGTGTGTACGTCCTCTGCTGCAGTGTGTCTGCCAGTGGGAGGGGAAAGAGGAGAAAAGAGACACCGAACGGGTGGTGGTGAGAGGAGAGGAGGCAAAAGGAGTCAGGAGGATGGTGAGGAGGATGGAGTTGCACTGCCTGCTGATGCTATGGAAATGATTCTGTGCAGCATCCACAGTCATGGCAGCCTCCTCCTGGAGCAGCCAATCAAAATGCCGCTGTCAGTGGTGGTACCACCCATTGCAGGTGATGGGGGATGAGAGGCCAACAGAGGGAGCCATTTCAATAGAGAGAAAGTGGCTACAGGATTCTAATTGTACGATGGATTGATGCTTTTAAATTAATGAATCTGTGATTGTTTTTGTGATTTATCGGTGACTGCAACTTGGGCTTTTTAGAAGATTTTAGGAGATTAACTTTTCTTCTCAACTGCGTCTGTCATGATTATGATAGAGTTTGAAAAATAATTCTTGTTTTCATTTTATTTACGTCTATTGTAAAATTATTTTTTTTGTATTGTTTGCTTTGTTCTATAGCTCACATGGCATGTTCATATGTTTACACGATAGTCACATTGGTCCAGTGGCGGTTCTAGCCTATTTGGCGTCCAGGTACAAGATTTGAAACATTGAAGTCATGCCCAAAAGAAACCATAAAAAAAGTTCTGGGATAAGTTCTGGGATCAGTTCCTGATGTGCACCCTGCATGTCCCTCTTATCCTTTTTTAACAGTATCAGTATTACCCCAGGCCAGTACCTCAAGTATCAAATATACTACATTTATCTTTATCTCAACCATTTGTAAGGCATGTTGCCAGTTCTGAGCATTTGCAGCATCATATTCAATCTCATACATCCTGCCAGCAGTGTCATTTTTCAAAATCGACACCGAGGCAACATAATACAACTACACAGCAACTGTACTTTTAATGCATTTCATTGGCTTTGCACATGTATAGATTTACAAATGCATACGAGTGGTGAAGCTTTTTATCGCTTATTATGTGCCACAGTTGAGTTATTTAAGCTGAGATATATTATAATTATTATTTTTCAGGTAAAGAACATAACACACATAAAATATGTTTTTAAAGATAACAAGTGGTAGCGTAACAAAAATCTATTATTGTCGATTTACTGTGAATCCTCCCCGTCTGTGGTTCCTGCAAAGCGAGTGACAGTACTTTTAGTCCATACTTTTAATCGAGTGAATTTGTTACGATGCAGTAAGCCTTCCTGGCCATTGGAGGGCGTTGGTGCCTCTTAACGGAAGACAAGTGCTACGAAATGGCGTGTAGAAGAAGACGTGGACTACACGACAAGAGGGGAAAAATGACAGGGCGCGCAAAAAGAAAACCTAAATCTGCTCAGGTAAATAATGCAGATTTCACTATTTTAGTCACGTTCCTAGAGTTAAGTCTAATACTGGACTAAAACCAAACAGGACTATGTGGAACCTGCATTGCGTGGCGACAGGTTTTCCTTTAGAGAGTGTGGTCAGAGCAGTTTGGTTCGCGGTGCCTTGGAACAACATGGCAGCGGCAGTAGTAGTAGTTAACCTGCCGCAGACCTATGAATGGTGTGCATTTAAAACCACCGTCTCTGTGAAATAACGTTTAAATGAACGTAATATGCAGCCATCCATTAAAAGAGCGAATGTATGACGGCAGAATTTGAGTCGTCTGTTTCTGGTTCGCAGCTGGTTTCTCTTCATGACTGATTTCTTTAGCCTTTAAAGCCAACGGTCAGTGCCAGCGCCGTCGTTTAAAGAAACATGGACATTTAACATATACACTGTATATACAAAATATTATATTTGTAATGTTTTAATGGTTTTTAAAGTGCTTTTCTTTTTTCCAAACTTTTTTCTGTGTTATTTCCGACCAAATTATATATTTGAACAGAATCATTTTGGCTTGGACGTGTCTTTGCAGTAGAACATTGATTTTTCTGTGACATCTCAGGCCATTGCTGCATAGTGTTCGAGTGACTTGTCTTCTTGGACACTACTTTTTCCACTACTACTATTAATGCAACAATATTTGTTTTTTTCTTGTCTTGGGGTCTTCAGAATGTTTTCTAGTGTTCTTTTTGATTTTTTTTCCCATTACCTTAAAAACTGCTGATGAAAGTTATTTTGTGCCATGTGTTTTTACATGTAGCTGCTCAAACCTGTGGTTAGTAAACGTATGTCTAGACAGTGACCACTGTTTTTAGTTGAATTGAACATTTTACACTACGCTTAAATATAGTTTCATGAACAAAAAACATGAATTGTATTGTGAGTTGAGTGTATTGTTACATCCCTAGAATGCAGTAATAATATGTTTGCTTTTTCTACATGATATTTCTTTAGGAGTCCGGCAATGGGGCTCAGAAGAAGGCTCGCAATAATGACTCCAACGCTATTCATGTGTCAGATGTGAACTCCAAACAACGTGATGAGATAGTGCATCTGTACAAGCTTGAAATGCCAGAAGATCTCTACCACTTCTGGGATTTCTGTAAGGAACTCTGTCCTGACAACCCCCGTGGTATGTTCTTTACACTAACAGCATATCTGATTACTGTTCTAATGAAAGAATAGAAAGTACATTTGATATTTAATCAATTATTCCGTCTAGACATGGAAGGAGCAGGATGAAGCCACTGGGTTTACTGGTTATCACCAACAAAACATTTCAATGTACAGGCTTAATGTATAAGGCATTTTCTTAAAAGTCATAATTTCACTAATTACTTTAAGAACAACCACAGGAAAAATATACACAGAATACCTTTAAAAAAATTCACTCATTAGAACTCATTAGTCGTGTAAACACAAATTAACACAAACACAATATGTTGGTTAGATTAATCCCAACAAAAAGTGACTTGATGAGGTGTAAACACCACACCTGGTCACTCTTCTGTTAAACTGGGAAGAGACATTAGTGTATGCAGCATTAGACACATCTTTTTTTCAGATTCAGATTTTGTTCGTCAGATGAAAAAATGGCTACTCCTGTGTTAAAAATAACAATGATGATTTTTTTTTTTTTTTCAAATGTATGACTGACAGAGTTTGTCTAAACGTTTCATTTTGTGAACAGATGCACTGTCAGAAACATTGGGTTTGCACCTGGTTGGTCCTTTTGATGTTCTGGCTGGGGCCCACAAAAAGTCAACCAACCCTCAGCCCAACTTCCATCTCCACTGGAGATTTTTCTATGACCCGCCAGAGTTTCAGACTGTGCTACGTGGAAGTGAGGACAGCCAGCATCACATTGGTTATTACAGGTATGAAACATGAAAACTTACTAGAACCTCTTTTGACCTACAATGAAGAATTTACCTTATGTTTTGCCAATAAAGTTGTAATTGATTAAGTGTTTATCTATAAAGATAAGTGTAAAGAAAATCACTGTGTATCGGGTCATACTGGTTTGTCACCATTAAGTTATTATACAATAGAATACGACCACATTACCTGAGAAAAACTGACGACTTTGTCTAATTACAGTTCCTTTATCTTCTTCAGCAAAAATAAAGTCTGCCTAGTAAGTGGTTCATTTTGGTATGAGATGTTCTGCTTTATTTTTACTGGTATTTATTTTTTGCACAATCCACCAGAGACACTCCAGACTCCCTCCCTTCATTTGTGGGGGAAAATGAAGCCAAGAAAAACTGCACAATATCACAGATGGGAAACAACTTGTTTGCTGCCGTCCTGTGAGTAACTTTTTTTTTTTACGGTCCAAGAATATTTTAAATATGAGGATTTAAAAACTGCAGCAAGAGGAAAATACTTTAATGAACACTATTTAAAACTGTCATCTGCATGTATTTTTATCCTAAGCCATATGTGTAATTCATCCTGATGTTCACAGCAACAAAGTCGTTTAATCATTTATCTTTTCCCTTGTGCTTCTCTTTACCCACTCAGTTTTGTGTGTTGTTTCTAATCTCAGCTTATTTCTGCAAAAGAAGAAGAAAGAAAAAGTGGGCGATAGAGCTGCAGTTGAAAGCCTGGAGGTAAAGCTGAAGAAAAGAGCGGAGACTCTGGACCTGTGTCTGGAGCAGAAGACCAAAGACATGAAGCAGAGAGATAAAAAGGTTAATGACAATCTAGACAACAATTTTTACTAACTACATTTACACAAAAGTTGGTACACGTTTTAATAATGTGAATAACAACCCAGATCCAGTTATGTAACAATTAAGTTGAACTTGAACTCAAAATGGACAAAATGACAATCAGTTATTGGCACAGCCTAATAACTGAAAGTCAAACCTGGAATCACAAGTAACCGGTAACAAGTCAAGTCCAAAAGAACTACTGATTTTTTTTCAATCTTTGGATCTGTGCCACAACTTCAAAACAGAACCCTTGTTGACAGATCATTCTTCTCACATGCAGGTTGTTACTAAGACGTTTCATTGTGCTGGCATCGTTGTGCCTGTGGACAAGAATGATGTGGGATACAGAGAACTGCCCGAAACAGATGGTATGTCCAAACATAGGCTAATTATAAACAAAATCATAAATCATAAATAGGTTAATCATTTGTATTTTTTTTCTACAGCATAGAGAGATTATTGGTATATACTGTGTCATACTGAGAAGAAAATAAGAACATAGTTTGTGTTTTGTGAAACCATGAATGTGTACAACCATAAAAATGTACTATAATCTGTTAGTAATCCACATTTGCATTTTAATTATGTTTTTTTTTTTTCCATGTTATGTCTCCATTGTATGCAGCGGATCTTAAAAAGTTTTGCAAGGCAATTGTCGAAGCTCGTAACGACGAAGAGCGTATGAAGGCCTTCACACCTATACAGGAGATTATCACGTTGGTTCAGTTTGCCAATGATGAGTGTGACTATGGAATGGCTTACGAGTTTGGAATAGACCTCTTCTGCTACGGGTCCCATGTAAGTCTTTCACTGCTGATGTTGCCCTTTAGTACACAAATACCCTGATGATTATAAAAAATCATATATCCTTTTTTTTTGCTCAGCAATATAAAAACAGAATGGTTGAATATCTTCTCCCTGCCCCCTACCCCCCTATAATATTTTATATGTGCACATCATCAGATTGTCTATGGTTTTGTGGGTGGGATCACAAATATTCATTATCTCTAATTTAATCTTCTCATCAGTATTTTCACAAGGTCATCAAACAAGTTCTACCTATGGCCTACAACTTGCTGAAAAGAAATTTATTTGGGGAAATTTTGGAGGCCCACCTCTCCAGTCGAAGCCATGACAACTTGGACCAACTCTCTGCACAGTAGACAGGATGAAGAAGTTACGTTCCCATCCTTACTGAGAACATTATTACAGTTTCCTGACTCTGAATTTTGATTCCATTTCATTTTTATAAGCTCTTCCCACCATGTGGTGTTGTCCTGTGCGTCATTTTAAGTGTGTCTTACTGGATTTTGGTGCTGCTCTCTCCTGCTTAAATCCAGTTCCATAATTTTTGTCTGTAAAACGTAGATGTTTAATAAAGTATTTTTTATATTTTTATCTTTCTGTTACATTTTCTTGACTTTGTCACATTTTTGAATGACAAATAATCATGTTAATGTACATAGTAGCAGATGGATGGTTATTTTTGTTTGGCCATTTGATGACTAGCAAAGAAAGATGCTTTTAAGCTTAGTCTCTTAGTCGAGTGTAATTTTTCTCCTTAAAGAAAGGGGACAGTAATTCCAACAAAACAGCCACAATAGTAGGGTTCAATTGGCAACAGTAATTGTAATAAAACCTTACATTTTAAGGTTAATATTTTGGATCTTAGGAAATATAAAATTGTTTCCTACTGCACAGAACCATGGAAACAATTACCAAAACATAAATCTTAAAAACATAAAATCTTGAAACCTTATCTTTCTGTCCGGAATGAAACAGCCTCCTCAGCAATGACTGTGTAACCTAAAATAGTTATCATATTTCAAATGACTTGTTTTTTTGACATATCTCAAAAACATCAATTCTGATATTTCACTGTCAAGTTTCATTACGGTTGCAGGCGGAGAGGAGGACCAGGCCAATGAGGATAAGGGCGTTGGAGAAGCAAAGATGGAGTTGGTGCATTCCTTTATGGAATTTAACATTCGATATCTCTTATAATGTTCCAGCAGTTTTATTTTATTTTATTATCTATAAAATAATTATTTGTCCCACAGTGAACTTGCCTGTCTGAAGCTCTTACCGCTGCAGATGTACCGAGAGCTGCGGAAGGGGACAAGAGCAAAACAAGTGCTCGCTACAGCTGGAGGTGCATTCATATAAAATTGGTTAAAAATGTTCGAATGTAACATGTTTGGATAAGGTGGCAGGCTTCTGTTTATTTAAATCAAACCACGGTTTATTTCATTGTGTTACGAAATAAACAAATAAAGTCCCCGAATATAATCAAGAACAATTTTAAAATAATATATTATTCATACAGTAAATGAAACCCGTGGCCATTTTTCCTATCAAATCTGTAAATTATAACCCTAAGCAATGTGTGTCATGTGCTAGAATGTTAACATATTGTCATTTATTTGTCGGTATGATTTTTATTTTTAATCTACATATTTTTGTAACTTAAAACGTTTTGTTGTGTGATTTCCCGTAGTACCTGAAGGCATCATTGATCCTGCGGAGTTTAGGAGAAGCGCGTCTGAGGCGCGTTCACAGTGTCGCACGCACGCGCATGCTACAGCGACACACCGGGAACATCTCTGAATCAGGGGAGCGCTGGGTTTAGTTTCACGGTTAACAAATCTGGATAAACTGCCTGTGTCCCGTCAACTACAGACTGAATCTGCCGCCGCAGCATGAACCTTCATCTGGGCGAATCTTCTGGAGTCTGAGGCGCCGCACATACATCCACCTTGCACTCACAGAAGGAACCTCGGTGACCGCTTCGCCTCCAGCAGCAGTCAGTCCGAGACGCAATGTCAAGTAGCCCGGAGGAAACTCGTTCCAGGGGCGGCGGCTCCGACCGTGACTTGAAAATGGCCTCTTCGAGCAACACGTCTCTGGACGTTGGGCTGGCGCCGCCAAACCAAAACCGTATACGGCAGGTGGGTGTCTCGTCTCTGCAGTGAGTGTTCCACTCAGCCCTTTAACCAGTAGCTACAGTAGAACCTCCACCGCTGCTGCTTTTGCTGTTGCTGTTGCTGCTGCTTTTACTGCTGATGCTGAGAGAGGGAGAGCAAGGAAAGGCGTTGCCGTTTGGTGATGTGACAGAATGTTTATGATTTGCATTAAATTGAGGTGTTAGATTAGCATCTTATATGAGAGAATCTCCAACAACAGCCAGATTTGATTAGAGTCCCTTAATACGCAGTCAGGCCAAGTGTGCCAGGTGTTATGTGGCCATCCAAATATATACTCTCAGGCCTGCACTGACTCCACTAGTTTCAACAACAGGCCGCAGTGAGCGGTGTTTCCAACTTCCCTCCGAACAGCAAGTGTCTGCATGCAGGATTCAAGTGTTTAGTCTGAGCAGCCATTCATCTGAAGACAGAGACCACTTCTGTCACCATTGTTGTTCTGTTGCTCTGACTAGCGCAAAATTAGATGCTTCACGTGATTTATTGGTACATTAACAACTTCACAGTGACGTCTGCTTGTTTATAGTTTTGCTACAGCTTAATGTGCAGTAATGTACGTTCGTGTGGCTGTGTCCTCTTAGTGTGTCCTCCTAGCGCTCTGTTAAGCCAGTCTTGGTCTTGAATGTGTTTTTTATGTTATTTGTGTAAAACTCCATTATTCAGGCAGGCGTTTCCCTCTGCTGTCTTTCTTCTCCCTACTATTTTTCCACCTCCTCTTATCCTCTACCTTTTGCCACTGTCTCCTCTTTTCTTTGCTTCACTTTTACTCTCATGTCCCATCTTCTTCTCTTCTCTTCTCTCCTCTCCCGTCCTCCCATTTTCCCAAAACAGTTGTGTTTGTACACGGTATATGAACATTTACAACTACACCACACCCAAATAAGATCATAAAATCCAGCGTACATCTTCTTTATCACAGTTTTTACGGTTGTTATTTACAGTCATGAAGGTTGGTGTTGGATTTAACATCAATGATTTACAGTACCCCCCTGCCCCACCCTCCTCGCTTCTTTATTTCAGTATTCAGTGAAAGTAAGTCAGGAGATGCTGGATGGCTGTTTCCTGTCTCGGTGCACCCTCTCAAGCTAATGTGATTTCAGTAATGGACTCCAGTGCTACGCACACACACAAACGGATACACACCTTAGTGTTTTCCTGTTGGGTGGGGACATTGATCTCATGTACTTTGATGCGATCACGATGCGATAATCTGTGAAGAAATATAAAGACGTCAGTTTTTTCATCCTTAATTTTTATCATGGTCCTCAGTAGAATCGTAATGACATTTAGTGCTTATTCAACTTTCTTTTCTTTTTTTTAATTGAGGCGGCAAATGAAGTCTGTTTAAAAAACTGTTTAAGATGTTACTTGAACTTCATTAAAGGATGTTGTGATTGTTGGGGATAGTTTAGAAATTCAGTTCTTAAATGATCCCATCAGGGTCAGTTGTTGACCTGCCCCAGGGGCCAGTTTCATTCTCCTAACAAGGTGGATGCTAGATGGAACAGTGTAACCTAAAGGTGAAGTACATATTTGAGTTTTACCTCAGTTTTGTTTATTGAACTTCATGAGTCAAAAATCAGTTTCCTCTGATTCTGTTTTCAGCTGTGATATGTAGCATGAGTAAAAAAGCTGGTTGCATGGTCAGATTCACTTCTGAGTTTGATTAAACATAGTTCTTTTTAAAACTTTGGATTTTAAACTTTATGGAGGCAGATGTGTCTGTTTGTCTTTTACAGGAAAATTCAGGTAGAATATGCGAGTCAAAAGAGAGTTAAAAACACTACTCTACAGGACATTGGTTTGAAGATTGCTGAAACGTTTCTTGCTCTTTCCTTGTATCATTTTAGTGCCTTTACGAGGATTTTGACTCTCACATATTTTGATTTAAATTTCCTGTATCATCTCTAATTTCTTCACTACGCCTCCGCCCTGTCTCTCCTCCCCACTTCTGCTCCATGAACTGAGGTCTTGATGTGCCACAAGGTCAGATTACACTGCAGCCTTTGACATTTTCGGCTCCCTCTCTTGTTCGCTCCTGTGTGTCTGCTTGTCCGTCTGCCAGCCTGTCTCAGTCTCCACTGGGAGTGGTGTGATGGGATTCTGCAGGAAGAGAGTCCTAATGGACCCATGGCCGTCATTACATTACCTCTGGACAGCCATAGCCGCGCACACACCCACGTATGCTTACAGCTGTCTACTGCTGCGTAATGCCAAATGAGACTGAGCTTACAGCTGTCTACTGCTGCGTAATGTCAAATGAGACTGTTTGCCCCATTGGGGGCTCAGTGGGAGCGGTTTATTAACAGGGTGTGTGTGCAGTACACACACCTCAGGATTCTATAGCTGCATTTACTTAGAGCACTTAGTATTTACATGAAGTACCCCAAGCCACTCGTAAACATTGTTTAGAACCTCAGTTGTAATGATAAAGCAAAACAAGTCCCAATTCTTAATATAACGTCATCTCAGTCAGATTTAATGTTGGTGCATATAAAGACATTGACATTTTTAAAAAACAGCAAAGTCACAAACACTATATATAATGTATGCAAACCTATACTGGACTCTATAACAATAATCAACTTAATATTGACTGGTTTTTAAATAAAACTTTTGATCTAGTTATGAGTATATGATAAACAGCTGACCAACAATACATACTCAGGAAAGCTGAAAGTGAAAACAAAACATGTATTTCACCAGATAACATATAAATATAAAATAAAGGAATAACTTCTAAAGAGCAGCAACTCTGTCTTCTTTAAAATGTATGTTAATCAGCAGCCATGCTGAACCCTTCATAGACCAAGACCAGTGAATTACAACCTTTGGTTCGGCATTCAGATAACAGCTCTGTTGATATTATATGTATTTTAATATGAGTTTGGATACTTTCTAAAGCTAGTATTTGACAAGAGAAGTAGTTGTATATCAAGTATTAACCATAGGTTAACATGTACATGGAATACATGCACATAACATGACTATGGAAACTATGTTGACCAACAAAGAATATGGAATTATCTTATTGTGCTATGCTGCATCCGTTATTAATCACATTCTACAGAGGGTAGGTGTATTTTGACCGGGGGGCAGCATTTAGATGTTAATTATTCATCATGGACTTATAACTGGGTTTCCCGTTAGAGAGAATAACAAAGAGACAGAGAGAGGGGAAGGAGTGGCAGCTGGTAATCAATGGACTTCTCAGAAACTGAGCAACGCTTTTTAAATCTCACTCTCCACTGTTATCTTACTCTGTTTTTATTTTCCATCTCTGTTCTTTGCCTCTTTCCTTCTCTACATTATTTTTCTCTCTTTGTCCCCTTTTCTTCTTCTTCTTTTCTCTACTGCCTCTTTCTCAAGATGGAGATGAGTAAATGAAGGATTTCTCACAGGAAAAGACATCAAAGCTGTTTTTGT